CTTAGCCCTCGAGTCAAACTGAACTTTGAAGGCCATTGTGTTGTCACAAATAGTCACAGAATTATGGTCTCCCCCACGCAGCTTCTCGGCTTGAACAAGCTGCTGGTAAGCCCTATCAACGCCTGGAAGAGGGTCTTGCGCAAGAAGTTGACCACAAAACGATGCATATGCATCTTCCAAGCCAATGAGGAAGTGATGCACATAATCATCTTCCCTGATTTTCTCAACTTGAGCAACAATATTACATTTCATTGACCACAAGAGCAATTTGGTACCTGACATATGCAATTAATTTATCCTAAATCTTGGAAAAACGTCCAAAATATGCAACAAACTATCGTCTCACTTGAACCCTGTTTGCAGTTACCTAGGGTTCTCTTCAATTGGCACACACGAGTTCCGCTCACAACACAAAAACGATTCTTGGGATTGTTCCACAACAAACAAGCATCGTCATAGTCACCAAGGGTAGACCTCAATCCTCAGAATCAGATCTAAGGTATTCGTCAACTGGGACACCAACATCGAGTGCACGACCACCCAATCCTCAAGCTTTTTAGCATCACTCGGCTTTGAGACCGGACCATCAATAAAACCAAATTTTCTCTTTGCTTTCAAAGCCGTCCTCACGGCCCTCGCCCATTCATCACAGTTTTCTCCCCGGAGTTGAATCGGAGTCATGATGTTACTTGGCCCATCGTAGGAACCTTGGTGATAGGTCAAATCGACCTTCTGCTTATTTCCTCCATCACCGCCAGTCATCTCTTAATCTCACACACAAATTTTTAAAAAATATTTGGTTTGTGAACTCTTACAACCAATCTCTCACTGATCATTGATTATGAAAAACAACAATCGAAAAAAATCAGATCGCACTCAGGCCCTTGATACCATGCTAAAATATACTGAATAATATGTTATGTAAATCTCATTCAACTATCACGACCATATACAAATATATAGACTAGGAAACTTGGAGGGCAAGACCAAATATTCCTAAGATAATTCCTAAGATAAGTCACAAAATATTCTATGCTATCTTTCACAATATTATCATCTCTCTCAAATATCTCAATAGATACATAGTACGACTACGCACTATTAGATTTTCTTAACTTTGAAAGAGGAAAGTTGATACGTCTATTGTGTGTAGGCAAGTATTAACATGGGTAGAGATGTCAATGTATTTGATTTGCATTTGGATTCAAATCGGATCGAGCTTTCACCTGCATCCATTCATCATCCTAATCACTTCATCTGCATCTACCCGTCATCCACTTCACTCATCAATCGTATACGTCCAATCGTAAACGCGTTGATCGGGTGACAATCGATCGGGTTACTAATGAATGAATATTTATTATTTAATGTGAAAAAAATCAACAAAAACTCTAATTTATGGAGAACCAATCCCCTTTTTTTGGCCCCCATAGTCCATCTACTGAGTGTTGCCAAATATAAAATCATATCTTCACACTTTTATGGAGAAACTCAAACTCAACTCCTCTCTTTTAATGATGAAAATGTAATTCTTCTCTTATGGAAACAATCACAATTTTAAAAAAAACTCCAATAACGTTTCAAGCAACTCCTACCTTTTTTCTTTTAAAAAAAATAAAATAAAATCCTTCCTTTTATACGCTTCTTTTTCTTCTTTACAACAACACAAAAAAAAAAAAAAAAAAAAAAAAAAAAAAAACCCTTCTAATACTCCACTCTCTCCAAAACCTCTTGGTGAATCACAATGCAATGCAACTCTTCTTACCACCACTTCAATTCCTGCATCGAACAAGATTTGAGATGTTACATCCAAGACAGTCGGTCTTTCGTTCCAGACGTCCTTCTTGCGGGGGCGTGTAAAGCATAATGATGACTATATCATTATTAATTATTGTTTATAGTTTGTGTTAATTTGTGTAATCCCTTGATTTAGGCCCTGTTCACTTCACCTTATTTTTGCTGAACTGAAATTATTTTTACCGATTTTCTATTATAATTTTTCTTTAAGAAAACTGAATTTTACTGATCTGAACTTATTTTTACTGAACTGAAATTACTTTTACTGAACTGGAATTAATTTTACTGAATTGAACTTGTTTTTAGTGAACTGAAATTATTTTTACTTAATATATAATTTTTAAGGTGAAGTGAAAAGGGCCTTACCCCTGTATGTTGATAGTCAAAGATATCTATAACACTTAGCTACTATATCTGGTCAAATGCTCAAATATACATCTAGTTGCATTCTATTGCTTACTCGTGTACTATGTACACTCATGGAACCACGTAATAAAAATAATCTTTTCAACATTATCTTTCTCATAACTCTATCATTTTACTCTTTAAATTTATAAGACTCTGTTAATTTTCTTTTTCCTTTTCACTATTAAATTTCAATCATCATTTGTTGTATAATGTGAATCTTTCATTTTAAGTTTGAATTTTGATTATTTTTACGCATTTTCTTCTCTTTTATATTTTTTTAGTTGTTAAAAAAATTCAATATTGTAAGATTTAATAGCTAAAAATGAACAATTTGAGGTGAAGATTTATGATTTTTATTATTGATAATTATGCTTAAGTTGTAGAATGCTATTATTTTTTTCCTAATTTATTGAAGAAAAGTGCACATTTTTTTTCTTCACATTTGTAGAAAATGAGCAAATAAATCCAATTAAGCTCTTCTCTTTATCTTTTTAAACTATGAAGATGAATAAACAAAATAAAAATAAAAATAAAGTTTCTACATCTCCCAACAACAATAATAATTCAAGAGATTCAACCAATAGAAAGTTTTTCACTTCCAAACAAACAATATTTTTAGTATTTACCCATTTAATTTAATTAGAAATGAGCAAATATTAAATTTTTATGTTTAAATTAAATTTTTATGTTTTTAACTTATACAAATTTTGCTCAATTACCCAAAAGAACAAATTTTACGACGTACAACTGGTTGTGCCTTGCTAGGTGTTGTATTGTGCATGAGTTGTTGTGATTAAAAATTAACATTTTCCTCTATTCGTTCAGTACCTGATATCATGTAACCTATTTTTCGTAAATAAGTCACTTGCACATGTATTTTATATTAGGTAATTTGAATTATTTTAGAGCAAGTTTGTATTTGAGGTACAATAATCGACATATAACCAAACTAGTGTGTCGGGTTTTGCTCCAATATATTCTTAGAATAATTTTAGTTATTTATTATTTCTGGAAATATTGCATACAACTACCTTTTCAGTCTTGTTTTTATGCAAAAAAACCATATTTTAAAAAAAATTATTGTAAAAGACCACCAATTTAAAAAATTATGTTGCAACTTAGTGCACATGTGACTATGTGAGCAGAGGAGGCAATGCATGTTTAAAGTGCTAAGTTGCAACATATTTTTTTGAATTAGTGGTCTTTTGCAACATTATTTTTAAAAGGTGGTTTTATGTAAATAAAAACAAGATTTAAGAGGTGATTATATGCTAAATTTTTATATTTTGGCAAATTTTTATATGTGGCTGGTCACGACCAAATTTTTTTATTTATTTTTGTTTTCTCACTTCCCATTTCTCAGTCCTCACTAGTCATTATGATAGGGTAAAGTCGTATCCCCTAATCAAAAGTAATTCCTAAATCCTCTAACTAATGTAGATAGGGAAGTAGGGTCGAATCCACAGAGAAATGAGTCTTCCTATTCCTAATTAATTAGTATAATCTAGATTATAAAGTAACCAAAATACAATAATCAAAGGAAACTAAACTACTAAGAGTAAAAGTGGGAAAGAATAAAAGTAGGAAGAGAAACAATGAATAAAAGGCTTAGGGCATAGGTTCACCAATAAATAATATTCCAAGGTAAAACATAATAATCAATCATCAATGCATACATTAATCAGATCATAAAGAGCTTTCGCTACGTATTACAATCACACAATTAATTTACCGGTATTAAATCTCATCTCTCGAATCTCGACTTAACCATTTATAAATTAACCTGCCTATTGAAACTAGACCTAAACATCAATTCTCATCTGTCGAATCTCGAATCAATATTGTCAAACTCATGCATAAAATATCAGGCCTAATCTAGTTACAGAGCATTAAATCAATCAATAGGAAATTAATCTAGCATTGATAATTAACAATAATAAAATACCCCTTCATATTATTTATGGATTCCCATAAACCCTAGAGAGAAAACTACTCACACATAATTAAATATAAACTAAACAAAACAATTAAACAAGACATAATCAAGGAAAGAGATTAAATAATGGATGGAATTAAATCAAGAGTTGTAGAGAGAGAAACAAGAGAGAAAGTAATACTAAGAGTTTAATTAAGAGGAGAGAGAAAGAAAAATTAGAGAGAGAAAAAAGAAAAGAAAAGAAAAACTAAAACTAAAACTAAACTAATCTAAAAACTAATTAAGGAAAAGCTAAACAAACTAAAACTAAACTCCACCCCCCCCCCCCCCAAGTCCCCCACGTACTACTCCTACCTCCTTAAATAAGAAAAGAAATAGGATTTTTAATCCAAGTTAACTTCTTCTAATTCCCACTCAAAATCAATGATGTGGGAATTTGGAGCAAACCAACGAAGTAGCCTAAGGAGCTCGCAGGTCCAATAGCAATTAGAAAGCCTCATAGCCGCTTGATCAAGCAACTCTTGCACTTGGGCCTTGGAGTTTCTAAGTCCAAGTTCCTTCACTTGTTGATCCGTATTTATTGTTGCAAATATGGACCTTTTCCACTTAATCGAGCCCTTAATCACCGAACTAAGTTTGTTTAACTCGGTCTTGGGCTTTAAATATACGGTCATAAAACACGATTCAACTCTAATATCTTTGTAGTGGCTAATAATCTCGGAAATTGTCATAAATTTGCAGATTCCTACAAAAATACACCAACTCTACGAAAACACTAGAAAACATATATTAGTAATAAAAATAGCTCCGTAGAGCTCAAATAAGCACAAATATGGCCGTGAGACTGAGAATAAAAATATATATAAAATAGACTCATCACATTACATTCCCCTCTCTCTCTCTCTCACTCTCTATCTCTCTCTCTCTCTCTTACCCTCTAACAATGGTAGAAACATCTATACTATTCTTCTTCATCTTCCCCGATTATTAGCATCATCCTCTCACTCCTCACTTTCTTCATCATCGCCTTTTTCTTCTCCTCTACAACTCCTTTTCTCTTCTCCAAATTCTCATTCTCAATTCCAAATCCCCCTTCTCAATTCCAAATCCCCCTTCTCAATTCCAAACCTTAACCCTATTTTCAAGTTTATTTAGAGACCAAATCGACGCATTTCTTTGTCATTTTGTTGGTTTTCTAGGTTGGTTTGGTTGGGTTGGGGTTGTTTGTCGTCGTCTTCTTCGGTGCCATTGGAGTAGCTTCGAAAGAGATCCATTGAAGAAGAATAAGATGAATCTCATTCCTTTGTCATTTTGTTAGGTTTTGGGTTAATTTGGTGGGGTTGGAGTTGGGGTTACTTGAAATTAGGGGTTATTTAGAATTTGAGTTATTTGTTTTTGTTTTCTGTTTTGGGTATGCTATAAAATGAGTTACTTGAAACTAGGGGTTACTTGAAATTATGGGTTCTTGAAATTAGGAATTACTTATAATATGGGTTGCTTGAAATTAGGGGTTACCACTTAAAATTAGGGGTTACTACTTGAAATTATGGGTTATTGATAATATGGATTACTTGCAATAATTAGGGGTTGCTTGAAATTGTGCGTGCGTGTCAAACTCTGTTATGCACATCAGACTCTGTTATTTTTGCCGAGTTGGTAGTAGGTCGCACCAAAAAGCTCTGTAAATTTTTATGTGTGAAAATCTCTTATAAATTAAGAGTTGTCCCACTTAATATGCCATATTAGCAAACTTTGTTAATATGACTCTCTCCTCCCCCACTAAAAGAAATTTCTTCTCTCTCCACCCCCCAAAGCATTTCGAACTCACACCTTTGATTGCACAACCATCATTGCACGACCACCTTTAGAGGTATAATCTGGCCAGCTAACCAACCGATCGGCCAATTAAATAAAAGTCACCCTAGTTGCAAAACATGTAAATTGGGGCCATACTAACCCTTTAGGGGAAAGAATTTGCTCGTGCAACAGTGTGTTAATGGTCGTGGTGGTGGCGCTAATGGTCATGGTGTTAATAGTCGTAATGGTGGTGCTAATGGTCTTGCGGTGGTCGCGTGATGGTGGTGACCAAAGTAATATGGTCACATGATGGTGTTAATGGAAGTACAATGGTCGTGAGGTGATGCCGGTGGTCGTGCTATGGGTGGTGCGTATGGTTGTGAATTGGTGACAAAGGTGTAGGTAGAGGAGAGAGAAAGGGGGTAAAACTAAGAAAATACAAAAATGCTCTCACATTAACTTTTTAAAATATGGTTTTTACAAGATTTGAAGCTACAACCTCAAGTTTAAACTTCAATGTATTAGCCAATAAGCTATTATTATATTATATATCATTCAATAAAATTAAATATTAATAAAAAAATTTATCATGCAAATAATGCAATAACTCCAAGCATACCCAGCCTAACAGTGGTTGGATTGAATTAAACCAAAAATCCAAACCAAAAATGGAATAAACACCCCTCTTTTACTCTTTAAATCTTTTTGTTAATTAGGAGATTAACTTGGAAAATTGATTTGGTACTCCGACTCCGGCCAATCCCTCGGCATTGAATTGGTGATTATTGTTAGTCACCTCTTCAATCAAACTCAACTGATCGACGCACAAATTTTGAGATAAATTTAACAAAAATCAAATCTTTCCTAAATTTCCAAAGGGTTTGTACTATTTGTCTATTTCTGATTTCGATTCAATGTCAGTCTTGAATCAGCTCTTCAATCGGGGTGTTCTCGGCACTAGGTGGTAAGTTGATTACTCGCCCTTCTTTTATTCACCAAATTATGCTTTTGTACTTTTGTATTTCAATTGTTGGTAGATTATAAAATTTTGATCGTTTAATAACTTTTTATTAGTTCTTATTGATTTGGGTTTTACTTAAAAATTTGGTATTTGAATTGATTTATTGCGGGTATTAATTATTTGATTTCTGTATAATTGTCTTAAACTGTACTGTGGTTACTGTTATTGCTACTAATTAGAAGATCGGATTACTTATTCAGTTATTCATGGAAGATCGCCGTTTTGTAAATTTCAGTTTAACAATGTAATCATATTTTGATGAAGTTATGGTTATTATGAAAATGGACATACTGTTTTAAGGAGGACATTTTTAATATTAATGACTCATAAAGCTGCACTTTGGTATGATCACTGAAGTTGCAATTGAGAAATGTGGGCATTTGCCTTTCAATTGGGTATTGATGGACGAATATTTCAAGCACAAGGCGACGTTTCATTACCCCTTTAAAAACCGTAGATAAGGGTCCTCAGAAACATTGGTTCTATGCGAATGGAAGTCGTAAAACAATGTCTTATGAAAAATTTATAGATGTTGTGTGTCTTGATTGGAGTAGGAGAAAGTGCAGTTAAGGTGACTCTGATTTCTGAAGTGACTTTTGTTTCCACCATCACTTTGAGTAGCAAATTGCTGGTTCAAATTCTGGTCACACTATTAGGAGAACAGTTATTTCCATTCATCGAGAGGATAAATGTACATATTAATTGAACTAATTTAAACCTTAATGACCTGATCCTTTCTAATCAGTACTGTGGTTTTAAAATAATATGTCCGTTTACCCCCTCCAATATCTTCCTTAAATTGCGTGCCCATGGGGTGTGCTATGCATTAAAAATGGAAGTGTTTGGATTTGTGGAAGTATTTTCTGCCATCCTGTCAATATAATAGACTTAATAATTGTATAATTGCACTTTGTTTAACCGAGTGTTTTTTAGTTTTATAAATGTTTGATCAATGACTATGCTGATATCTATTTTGTAGCAAAACATGCTTAAATTTGGCAATCTCCCGTATAAAATTGCTGCAAAATAGAAGAGATGCCCAACTCAAGCAGATGCGCAAGGAGATAGCCCAGTTTTTGCTGACTGGCCAAGAGGCCATTGCCAGAATCCGGGTAATTGCTCTTGGCTTGTAGTATCCTACTAGAATAGTGCCCGTGCGAATGCACGATTTATAAATCAACTTATTAATTTTTTGAAAAAAAAATTATTAATCCCGTAGGGAAAAAAAACTAACATAATTCAATTAGTAATAAAGGGTTCATTTTCACTGACAAATTAATTTTTGGATTTATTTTATTTTATTTTATTTTATTTCCTTTCATTTTTTTGAATAATGTTATTTGTTTATTTGAAAAATAATGAATAATACTCCACATAACTATAAGAGATATAGACTAAATCTTTCCTACCTCCCGTAGATAAAAACTAAAATTTTCTTACCATACTATTCACTTCAGCGATTATACAATCGAATATTTTCTTTACTCGTCGTATTTTAGACACAATAATAACTTACCTTATATTTGACCTACATCTATATACATTTTCCTAAGTAAAACATTGTGTCAAAAACAATTACGGAGTACATAATATCCACAACCAATCAACAACTGATAGAATATACAACACAAATATATAGATATGGATATTGGTCAATTTTTATACAAATGAAAGATATTTATTAAGATTTTAAAAAACAAAAGACAAATTTCATCAACTACCCTATCATGTATGTTATATATTTTTTTATGGATATGTATTCTTATACTATAATTATTTAAAATTTAAATATTAGCATTAAATTAGTAAGGAAATATGAAAATTTAATGGTTATAGAAATGAGAATATTCTTCATATAAATTTCATTACAAATCTATGGTAATTAAAAATAATAAATTTGTAAGTTGTACGGAATCTTTAATTATTATATATGCATAAATTTTTGGCATAATTATTGTTAGGAAAATGTTGTTTAACTTTTTTTTAGGAAAAAGTTACATTAGATATACTCCGCATATTTTTTAATCTAAGTTAATGTAATTTCAATAATTTATATATTAACTAGGGGTGAGCACAACCGGGTACCCGGTTGATTTTGACGGACCCGATCTTGGAACTGGTTGTACCGGGTCCTGTATACTTGGAACTGGTTATACAGGGTCCTCAAATTTTGGACCCGGTATTGGAACCGATGGGTACCATTTCCAAATCCGGGTACCCGGTTTCTTTTTCCTTGTTTTACTTACTATTTACTAAAATTTGAACCTGTCTTGTCTAGTGTCTAGCTTGCTTCCTATAATCTCCAAACTTAGAAAAAAAATAAAAAATTGAAAAAAGGCTTTACAACAAACTGACAACATCATCAAAATTACAAGTTTAATGTCCCTAAACATAATTAATAATGTCCTGATAATAAAGTTCCAAAAAATTATCTCACAATATTTGCATCTAATCTTGATTATTTTTTTGGTTTTCGGATCTCTAATGTCCGATAAATGGCTCCAAAAGACCAAAACTCAGACTTCCTCTTATCGCCAACTGTGATTGGTTCGCTTGTTGCATTCCCAACACCCGCATCACTTTCATCATCCATAGGTTCATCCATTACCAATCTGAAATAAAATAAAAAAAATTTACATTGAAATATTACTTGGGTGCACTGGCTTCTTAAGGAGAGCATATATAAATAAATAAATAGGAGAGTATTAGAGTAATAATGTGTACAAATTCATTTTCATAAGTAAATTTATTTTCATCAGTAAGTTGTAGAAAGTAGTTTGTCCATTATACATAATTAATCAAGTTCATTTTCGTAAGTTAATTCTATTTTGCTCCTTACTGCAACTTGCAACACTTTAGTCAATTTTATAGCATTATATTCCACATACCCAAACTAGCAAGTAGCAAACTAACTACAAATTGGCAGATTTACGGTATACAAATTTACAAAAAACACAAATTTTTAATCTAAAAAATAGCACAATTAATCAATTATCATAAACATGCAAAGCTAACTACAAATCTCAGATAATTTACGATACATAAATTACTAAAATAAGCTCAAATTTTAAGTAAAATAACAAAAAGAGCTTGAGAGTAGAAGAACATTTAATAATATGAGCGAGGCTGCTTGAAAGGAGAATCCGAGTGGAGAACACTTGAACGGAGCCGCCGTGATGGAGGGGTGACTAGTGAAGGGGTGAGATCTAAGAGAGTATGTGATTCAAAGTAATGGAGGCTGTGAGATTTTAGGGTTAATGAAGTGAGAAAGAATATGAGTACATTAATATGTTGGGCTTATTTTAATTTGGGCTGTAAAAAAAAAAAAACAAGTATTCGAACTATACAACAAATTAGCCCTAAAATGTCTAGTTCCAAGACCGGGTACCCGGTTATACTGGTTCCAAGACCGGGTACCCGATATTGGAATTGGTATAACCGGGTACCCGGTGGGTACCGGGTCCAACATTTTAGGACCTGGAATTGGAACCGGATATAACCGGGTCCTAGATTTTGGACCCGAAATTGGAATCGGTATAACTGGGTCTGGGTCCGGACCCGCCGGGTCCTAACCGGTTCCAATACTGGGTACCCACAGTTTTTGCTCACCCCTAATATTAACAATTCATAGACTCTATATTAATCTAAAATTACATTAGATATATATTTTTAAAATCAAAGTTAACTTAATTTATTCACCATGATTCTTTAAGAGGAGTAAGGTCAAATATCGTAGTGAATGTCATATTGAATAACAACATATTAATCTTTACATAATATAGATATATATTATATGACCTTTAAATGAAAATTATAAAGACATACTTCCTATGTTTCTATTTAGTTGACGCGTTTGATTCAGACACATATATTAAGGGGATGAGAGAGAGTGAGAGAGAATGAAAAAACAAGTGGGGTAGCTTGTAAATACAAGGTAAAAAAGATACCCCAAAAAGAAACGTGTCAACTAAAAAAAAATTTCTTAAAAAGAAATATGTGTCAACTAAAAAGAAACGGAGGTAGTATATGTTATAACTGTGGCTACTATTTATATAGGTGATTATACAAAAAAAATATTTTATTTTTTTTATTATTTGAATACTATGATTTGATTTGAATATTTTAAAAATATTTTAATTTTACCTTATTTTTTGAATATTTTATTTTTACCGTATCATGCTACCATTATATTTGTAGACTTTTTTTTTTATTTGAGAAATAATATGTCTAGACTTTACTATAATAGATGCTCTGACCATTATGCTCATATTATGTAATCTGAAATACTTGTATAATTCTTTCCTTTGCTCAACATGTCGCAATAATATTCCCGGACTTTACTATAATAGATGCTCTGACCATTTTCATGATCTTCTGTTATAGTAACTGATTTCACCGAGCAAATAAATATCACTCTGTGCTAGTATGCTATTTATAAAAGCAATTTCCCAAAATATAATCCTAACACTATTTTTAAAATAATATTGCTAGACTTTTTTATATTAGTTTATGTAGTTATTTAGAATAAAATATTTAGAATATTTTTTTTATATGGAAACATAAATGTATATTAAAAAATTTAAAAAATTAAAAAAAACAGCGAATCATAAAGAGACATCTGTCAATCTCACATTGAGGCGCTTGTCTTTTAGTGTAATATATAGATATATAGATTCTTCCTAGATTGATGCAAACTATTTGAGATAAAATAGTCTCAATGAAATCCTTTCTTTCTTAAGGTGGAGCATGTTATACGAGAACAAAACATATGGGAGGCATATGAGATTTTGGAAATGTTATGTGAATTTATTCTTGCACGTGTGCCCGTTCTTGAAAGTCAGAGGTAATTCACCTAAATTATCCCATCAATTTTATTTATTTATTATTTTTTTTATGCTCGATGGATAGTTTTTGAATTAACAAATGAAAATAGGCTATATCTTATCAATTGTTTCTTGACTGTTCTCAAAGGATGCTTGACTATACATCACTGTACTTGAAGTTAATATCTATCATAATGATAAACAACTATTTTTGCCGTGACCTTCTCTTTCTAACTTTTGTCGCTCACCCCTAAGCTTTAACAAGTCGCTGCCTCATTTGTGCTATCGGCAACTCTAGGGAAGTAAATATTGGAGAGCACTCATCCTACCTTTGTCGTTCTTTCTTTAATAAGTTAAATTCCCACCCTTAGGACATTGGAAAACATCGGCTGAGTTGTTCCAACCAGAAATTCGAGGTTTGTTAATAAATGATTGTCCAATAATGAGAAGGAGTACTCGTCTTTCTTCTAAACAAGATCTATCAAACTCATAAATTCATTAGATGCTTTCTATGTATGAATTTCAACTAAGTATCGTAAGTACATTGCTCTCGGTTGTTCATTTAGTCGATAATCAGTCATTCTTTGATAAACGATCACTATTGAATTTGATTAATCGTACTTGTGTCGTTAAAGTGGAAATTCGAATTAAGAATTTTCTTTCTTCATCATCAATTGAATCACTCAGTCTAACACATTTCTATAGAGAAAGATTCCTTTTTCTCCTCTTTTCTGAGGTATTTAACGTTACATCATTGAAGATCCGTGTGTATCTTTTATTCCTGGAAGAGCATCATTGAGAAAACTCTACATTTTCTTTTTATGTGCTTCTGATCCTTACATTAACTAGAAAGATTTGTGTAGCATAAAATATTTCCTATAAGAGTATTAGAAGTACTTATAATTGCAAATATGGGTTGTAGGCAATGTCCTTCAGAGTTGCAGGAGGCTATAGCAAGCGTAATTTTTGCAGCTCCCAGGTGCTCCGATTTGCCAGACCTCCTGCAAGTTAAAAACTTGTTCACTTCAAAATATGGAAAGGAATTTATTTCAGCTGTCTCTGAACTCCGGCCTGATACTAGTGTTAACCGTACAGTTGAGAAATTCTTGTCTTTGCGATACAGTTTTTCTTGATAGTTATGTGGCAGATGTTTGCATGATGTCCCAATGTTCCTGTTCTAGAACTTATGTTTCACCTTTGGATTTTTTGGGCTTTCCATTGTAGATAATTGAGAATCTTTCTGTTAATGCTCCATCTGCACAATTAAAACTCAAGCTGCTGAAGGAAATTGCAAAAGAGTTTAATGTCAACTGGGACTCTTCAGAAACTGAAGCAGAATTCCAGAAGAAACATGACGATCTCCTGGTGTGTTTTCTTTCCTTTCTTGTCGTTTCTTCTGCACTATAGCTTTATTGCACTTCTTGCTTATCATCTATTGGCTCTATTCCTAAATGATGCAATTTTATGAGAAAATCTAGTATTTTGAAAGGGAACTTGGGCTTAGGCATTGGATAAAGTGGACTTGCTATTGTCTCTGATATTTTTGTTTGGAACTCCCTCTTTAGGGTTACATGAGTTACTGTTTGTTGCTAAATTAGTGCATCAAACCAGATCTAATTGTAATAGAAAGGTGACAATATCCCTTGAACCCTTTTTAATACCCTATAAATATTGCTTTCTTGGCTCTTTTATCAAGCTTGCTATCCTTGACATGATAATAAGTTAGCACCTAAAGGCTTTAAGGTGCATGTGCATGTTCCCTTGACCACATCAATAAGGTGCGTCTCCATCTAAATAAGAATATGGGGATTGATCAGCTAAATAAGAATGTGGGGATTGATCCGCTATATTACAAGTTCTAGCAATTAACTGTACCCACCATTCAATTAGAGCACACACACCTTGCCTTCTCAAGTAATGTATGATTTAGTCTTTTTGCTACTCCATTTTATTGAGATGTGTTTCTGATTGTTCATTGTCTCACAAGTGCCTTTATCACAAAATTATTTGAAAGCTCCCTAGGTGTATTTTGTACTATTATCAAATTATACAAGTTTTATCTTTTGACTTGTAGTGCTCTCAACCATTGCTCTCTATTGCTTAAAAGTATTGAGTACCTTGATCTTATGTTCAAGAAAATAAATCCTAGCACACCTATAATAATTGTCAACAAAAGTAACAAAATATCTTGAACTTCCCTTAGGAGCAAATTTTGCCTAACCCCAACATTCGGATACACACACTAATATTTCTCTTTTTTGTGCTTACTTGTAGAAAATTTCATATTGTGATATTGTGGCTTCTTCATGTTTTATAACAAACCATGACCACTAAGCAATGATAAAACCTTTTCTCGCATATGCCTAAAGGTGCATGTGCAATATCTTTTATGTTTGGTCTTTATTTCCACCGATTCCAACAGCTAAATAACATGTAATAGTGTCCCCAATAGAGGATAAAAATTACCGTGATGAATCTTTTTCATCACTATCTTTATAACGCCGTTTGCTAAGACTATTTTGCATCCATTTTTCAATAATAAGTTGATAAAGATGATTTTTCTTGCAATGTCTCATACATCCTTCAACATTATTATTGTTCCATCATGCATCTTCCCTTAGATGGTACCTAATAATCCTATTGTCTTACAAGCATATCGTTTCTCATTAAACAGTGCCACCATTTAAACTTTGGTAAGTTATAAAGCATTTCCTATTTGGGCATATATGGTGTGATGTCCCGAATTGCAATGCCTTCCTCCATCTTGCATGTGTACGATTTGAAATTTATTTAGATTCGAGTTGTTTGAGTTTTCGTCAAGAAATTGGACTCTAATTTTGCCACACAGAAGCCGTTGCTTCTTAAACAAGAAAGCAATTTCCCTATAAGGCATAGGATTGTGGACACTCTTAGAAGATATTATTCTTCCTAATACTCATCCTTCATATCCTTGGGTTTTTGTTCTCTTCTAGCTAATGCTTTATGCATCTTTTGTGAAATAAGCATATTTTCTTACTGCCTCTGTTACTTTTTAGTTGTAACATATACTAAATGTGAAAGCTACAAGCCTTTTTAAGTTAAATTTTTTAAATGAAATTACCAACATACCTTTACTTAATCTTTCCCAAATTCAATTAATGCATTAAATTACAAGTTATTAAATTATTAACTAAGGGAAAATCTCATGTGTTGGTTTGAATATGTAAGACGGAGACCCGAGGGTGCACTGGTTCGACGAGTGGAAGAGTGGGACCATGGAGAGGTTAAATGAGGGAGAGAGAGACCGAAATGACAGGGTCGGAAGTAATTAGGAAGGATATGAAGTATATGAATTTGCATGAGGATGAAGCATTGGATCGTAAGGGATATATGAGGAATATTTTTGTCGATGACTATTCGGAATAATCAAATTTGGTTCATGTATCGACCCCACTTATGGGATTAAGGTTTTGATTCATCGAATCATCATTTACTTCTCATCAAGATTTCATCTCCATTTCTTCATCTTCTCAAACCACCACCAATCTTCTCTTACCACTATCACACTTTAACCACCACTAATCTCCTCTCTCTCTCTTCACTATCATGGATAAAGAAAGAGAGAGAAACTCCAATCACCACCCCAACAAAACTCCATTTCCATGGATAAAGAAAGAGAGAGAAGCTCCATTCACCACCCCAACAAAACTCCATTTCGCTCTCTCTCATTCTTCTTCCATGGATGACCACCACCACCCACCCTCTCTTTGCCGAGCAATGCTCCCTTCTCTCTCTTCCCTTTCTTTTGTTTCATCACTATCATTAAAGCTCAACTTTGAACATGAAAATTGTAGATCTACAACTTTCATGGTCAAATTCGACCAACTAAAGCCCTAAATGATGATGAGAAAAAGCTAATAATTACCATTTTTATTTATTTATTTTTTTGTGGTGGATGAGAAAGGAATTTGTGATGGTGGATTTTTCTAGGTGGTTGTGAGGTGATTTCGAGGAGGATTGATTTTGTTTTGGGTAGTTGGGAAGGTGTTGGTGGGGTTTCGAATAGTTGGTGGTGGTGAGGTGGTGGGATAAGGAGGGTGGCCGGGTAATTGGTGGTGTCGTGGTGGTGACTCTGGTGAGTCGGTGGGATAAGAGGGGGGGGGAGGTGGTTTGGGTAGTAGGTGGAATAACTTGATGTGAAGACAACCTTCTTAAATGGTGATTTGGATGAGTAAATCTATATTTATAAACATGAGGGATTTACGATTGAGGGTAAAAAGACTTAGGTTTGTCGCTTAGGAAATCACTTTATGGATTAAAGCAATCTCTTTGACAGTGGTACAAGTGATTTGATTCTTGTATGTTAAAACAAGGATTTTCTAGAAGTAAGTACGATTGTTGTGTATACATTCGCAAACTTTGTAGAGCAAGGTGGAGATAAATAGGTTAAAAATTCAACTTTGTGAAGAATTCGAAACTAAAGGCTTGGGCGTTGTGAAGAAAATACTAGGTATGGAGATTAGAATAGAGAGATCAATCCGGAAATTGTTCTTGAGCTAAAAAGGCTACATTGAGTGGGTTATTAGAAGGTTTGGGATGAAAGGTGCTAAATTAGTGGTGAAATCATTGGCTCCACATTTTAGGCTCTCTAATAAACAATCTCCCACTATAGCGAAAGATAAGGCATACATGGATAATGTACCTTGTTAGGAAATATTATGTATATTTCCCTAAGAATCAGATTAGTGGGATTGTGGGAAAAAAATAATAATATAAATAATACAAAAAAATGAACAATATTTGTATCTCTAATTATACTGCAAAACTTTACTAAAAAGGATAAATACTCCCTCCGTTTTTAAATACTTGCTCCATTTCTCTTGGACACGCATGCCGATACTAATCTTTGATCACTTATATCTTTAATTATCAATAAGTATAAATTCTAACGATTGAAAATTAATAATCAATTCATTGAGATAATTCCAACAAGTACCCAGAAGATTATTTTTTCTAATGTATAAATCACAAACATTAGTCAAATTAGGACAAATGAATAGTGCAAAAAATAGAAATGGAGCAAGTATTTAAAAACGGAGGGAGTAATACACAAGTGTTCACAACACTTATTATAACTCACAACCATATCCACCTCGATTACACCCGAAAATTTTCTCTAAAAATTATCTTAAAGCTTCTCTCTCTCTCTTTTATGTTTTCTTTTGTTTTTGGGATGATTTTAAATGAAAAACAAAACATTAATATACATAGGCTTACGGAAACAATGCTACCCACCTATTATTTAGCAAATGCATGAACCATTAATTTAATTTAGTAACACTAAATTAATGCTCCTTAATCCTCAACCTTTCATATATTTAGCATGCTAAATAAAGGCTTATATCTCAACAATCTCCTACCTCCCACTAGAAGACAGATTTTGTCTTCACACCTTACTCCATGCAACATGATGTTTTCTTATATTACTCAAGTAGGCCCACCAAAGTTAAACACTAACTTTACCTTGTCAATAGTCACTGTCGTCGTTAACATATATGCCGGATTCTTAGTTCCTTGAATTTTCTCCAATGTTAGCACTTCATCTTCTAATAAAGATCGAATAAAATGATACCAAAGTCCAATGTGCTTTCTTCTAGAATGAAATGCTGAATTGTTTGCCAAGTGTATCGCACTTTGACTATCAATGTACAAAACACTATTCTCTTGCTTGAATCCCAACTTAGCTAACAAACCTTAAAGCCATATCATCTCTTTACTAGCTTCAGTTACCGCAGCCTCTGTAGTGGATAGAGGAACAATTTTTTCTGCCTAACCGTTGTATTTTCACAGTGACGTGCTTCTACGGCGATCGACTTCACCTCCAAAGTCAGCATCAACATAATCTTGTACTTTTAATTCACCTTTACCAAAATACATACACTTCTCTATAGTACCTCGTAGATCTCCCTGCTTCCCAATTAACTTTTCCTGGATTTGATATAAACTTGCTAACAACTACCACTGCATGTCCAATGTCCGGTCTTGTATAAACCATTGCATACATTAAACTAGCCGAGGCATATGGAACCTTAGCCATATAGTCTCTATCTTCCTTCGTCGATAATCGAAAGTGACTCGCCTAGGGTGTACTAACTGGCATCACTCATGCTAAATCTCTGTAAAACACGTTTAATGTATTCTGATTGAGATAATTGCAATGTACCTTCATGCTTATCCCTTGTATTTTGCATTCCAAGAATTTTCTTTGCTGGACCCAAGTCCTTCATGTCAAATTCCTTTGACAATTGCTTTTTTAGCCTTCTTATATCATCCATATATGAACCTACTAACATATCATCGACATAAAGTAGTAGAATGATATAACT